TAGAGGCAATACAAGATAGTCACCCCCTGTCTATAGACCATATGCCCCCTCCTCCCTACCTGCGTGGATGGATGCTCCATGTTCTCAGTGTATCCTGAGCTCCCTGGGAGCCCCCAGTGCCCCAGCCCTCGCCCAGTGTGGCAGACCCTACATCACAGTTAGTAATGTAGGGAAGGGAGCCCTAGGCTTGAGGGAAGGGGCCTGGCTTCCACTCTTAGCACAGCCAGGAGACCACCAGCTCAGAAGCCCACTTCTCTGACTTCAAGTCACTTATCCCACAAAATGAGCTCGAGAAGGTTCTGCCCTGCCTCCTCTTTGTGGTGAGGGGTGTGTGAGAGTGGTGATGAGGAACATGAAGACTCTTGTCGGACTTCAAAGGATTATTATCAAGTACCGCATGGCATCTCTGGAAGAAAAGAAGGAAGAGGTCACTAAGAACACATTTGTGCTGAGGCCTGTGTGAGGTGACATTGCCTCACACACTCTTACCGCATCAGTCTTTGGGGTCATCACAAGGATGAGGAGCCAAGTGTTAGAGAGGTGAAGTGACTTGCTCTGAGTGCAAGGCCCTTGTGACCTCCCGTTAGCACTTAATGGTCTGCCTGTCGTCCTTGATGACTTCCCACGTGCCACAGCTCTGGGTGCTGGGGAAGAGCAGAGAAAGAGCCAAAGCCCCTGTCCCCATGGAGCTTGCTCTCTCAGTGAGGAAACAGATGTAAATGACTAAGCCAGAAAGGATGAGAGAAAGGGAAGCGCAGAAAATTCAGTGCTGGGCCTGAGGTTAGGACAGTGCTGCAGAGCCAGGCGGCATGGTGGGAGGCCTCTGGAGAAGCAGATATTTCAGCAGGGACCTGGCTGATGGAGCCACCACAGGCTCCTCTCAAGAATCTGCAATGAAGCTGCCCTGGACGTGGGGACCCTGTCAGCACCCATGTGGTACCTCTAAGTCTCTCCTTAGGTTGGAGGAGGCTGGCTGCCTTCTGAGGTGCTGTCTCTCCTGCTCCTTCCAGCCCTGCAGCTGCTTGGAGACTTTTTTCCAAAACACGTTAATGAAGAAAGGCTCCAGCGTGGCCTAACCCCAGCAACGGAGCATCACCGTCTCCAGGGTGACCCTCATGAACACTGGTACCTCAAGCAGCACTCTCTCCCTCAGCTTCTGGAATGTTCTGGAATCTTCTGGGTGCAACAAGTTTATAGGGGGAGGTCAGCCTAGGCAAAAGGGCCAACAGACCACCTCCAGTGGATGACTTTTATTTTAATGCCCTCTTAGAGTAGCCCACTTCCTCAAGGGCTGTTAGAAATGAGCAGAACATGGCAATGCATAGAACTCCAAGAGGGACTTTTCTCACGCTTGCCTCTGGGCCAGGCTGTAAGCACTTTATCAGGCTGTGGGGCAAGATGTTTGCCCACTTGGGAGACTCATTCATTTCACCCATTGTTTTGTTTTGTTTTCAATTTTTTTCTTTTTGTGATACTGAGGTTTGAGCTCAGGGCCTTTCACTTGCTAGGCAGGTGCTCTACCACTTGAGCCATTCCGCCACCCCAGAACAATTATTTTGAAGTAAGTTATTTCCAGAAAATGACTTTAGGATTAAGAAAACATTTTTGTTTTGTTTTCTGGTGCTGTGGATGAAACCCCAGGCCTCACACACGCCAGGTGAGTGCTTTACCACTGAGCTACACATCCCCAGTTCAAGAAAATTTTCTACACATACAGACCCCAGGGGCTAGGCAGCACTGTCGTCACAGAGCCTTGTCATGACAGTCCACAGGGGACCCTGCAGCAAGAAAAGGTGACTTCAGTGTTGACTCAGAGCAGGCTTCTCAGCCTGATACATTTGGAGGAGCCTTCCAGAGAATGCAGTCTGCAGCTGCTGCTGTACCAAGGACCACACCAAGCTGCAAGGGGTCTGGTGTCAGCACTCCTGCCTCCTGCCAGTCTTTACAGCTGCCTTGACTGGGCACTTCTTCTACCTTCTGGCCCCATGGTCAGGTGGCTGAATGTATAGCTGGAGATCATTAAGCATCCCAGAAGGGAGGGGAAGAGGCTCCCTGGCCAGCCCTCACTGAGTCTGTGTGTGCACATGTACTGATCTTACATTCCAGAGACACCATCTATTTTTTTGTTTTTACTTACTTATTTATTGAGATATGATCTCACTATGTACCCATGCTGCCTCAGCCTCCTGAGTGCTGGGATTATAGGAAACGCTACTACATCTGGCTGCTATTTTTCTTGATTGTGTCTTCGTGAAGCTGTCCTGAGCACCTCCCTGATTGAAAGTGGTCCTCCAATCATGCAGAGTCCTCTGTACCTCCTTGGATGTTCTGCCTGATGCTGTCCCCTCTCTGCTGTCTAAACCAATATGGTTGACTGAGCCTGCTTCATCTTGTTCCCAGGTTTGGCTCGGCTGGGGGAAGGCTAGGGGTGCTCAGGAGGCCCATGCAGCAGAAGCTAGGTCCTGGGGAGGCCCTGAGGTGGCAGATCAAGCTTACTGATGGCTTCTGCTCTGCTGCTGAGTGAGTGTTGAGTCTCAGCCAGGTGTCACCACTCCAGATCCAATCCAACAACTATGGCTTCCTGAGCACCTACCTTGTTCTAGATGGGGGTGAGCTGGGCCCTAGAGACACAGTGGGGAAGAAGACAGCAGTGCCTACCTTCTCAGGTGGCGGTGGAGACTGGCCTGTTTGCAGATAGCATGTGCATGGAGTGGGTGGAGGGGCTGCCTTCCATGGTGTGGGCAGATAGGGGTCAGAGTGGATGGAGACTTGAGCAGGGCTCTCCAGGTGGCTAAGTAGCCTGCCAGGTGGACCAGGTGTGGTGTGGTGGAGACTTGTGGAGGTTTCTGTAGTGATAGATGCAGAGAAGGCAGCTCCGGAGGGAGAGGAAAGCCACTCCCCGTCTCCCAAGGTGGAGGAGCAGAAAATGAATCACGGGCCAGCAGAGGTCACAGCCCCATTTGGAGAAAGTCATTTGTCATAGTGACATGAGAGGTCCATGTTGGATTCTCATAGGATTCAAGTTTTCCCTGGAGGCCAGACTTTTTCCTGGGTCTCTAGTTCTTAACCTCTAATGAGAGGCAATACTGACAGGTGTGTTTTAGAGGAAAGACAGTGCCCTGCTTACTCACTGTCATGTCCTTTTCCCTCACCATTCCTGCCTGGCTCTGGGCTCTCCTGCCCTGCAGTAGCTTCTGGATAGAAGGGCAGGGACACCTAATGGTCACAAGTCTCCAGTGCCAGCACAATGCTGGTGCACTGTCCAAGGAATGAGACTCACTTTTTCAAACGTATTTTGACATACACGTCCATTTTCCCTAAGTAAGACACCCTTCCTTTCTCTTCCTTCCTTCCCCTTCGTTTCTTCCTTCCTTCCTTCCATCCCTACTCCCTCCTTCCCTCCTCCCTCCTTACTTCTGGCAGTACTGGGGTTTTGAACTCAGGGCCTTGGCACTTATAAGGTAGGCCCCCTACCTCTTGATCCACAAGGCTGCCTCCCTGCCTCTCCCTGCCAGCCCTTGTTTTTTGTTTTTTGCTTTTTTTTCAGATAGGGTCTTGCATTTTTGTCCAGTGTGGGCCTTGTCCACAATCCTCCCACCTGTACCTTCTGTGAAGTTAGGATGAGGACATGTGCCACCATATCTGGGCTATTGGTTGAGATGGAGTCTTGCTAACTTTTTGCCTGGGCTGGCTTTGAACTACAATCCTGATTTCTGCCTCCCGAGCAGCTAGGATTACAGGCTGAGCCACCATACCCAGGCAACACTTATTTATAAATATGAAAATGGGAAATTTGTGTGTTTTAACAGATTGGAAAGAACGACTCTGGGTGTATATGTAGGCTGTGGGAAATCTGCAGACATGTTTCAGCTCACACCTGAGTGCTTTAGGGCTGATACCTTCATGGCAGTTTAGTTTAAAAATTCTGTGTTTTCTGGGAAAAGAGTGATGAATATGTGAAGAAACAGAGTGCTTTTGGGTGGTTTCGAAGCACAAAATAAGACGTGAGTGCAGAAATAGATCTGTTCTCTGATTTTGAGACCTTGCTTCTTTGCCCTTCTGTCTCCTGTAAAATCAGAGATTAATGTCACCTACTTCGATGGTGTGTGTAATTGAGATGAGGTAAGAAAGCATGTGACATGTCTAGGTCTTGATGTGATATTGTACTGGTGTCACAGGCAGGGAAACTGAGGTCAGGAGGAGGGGGTTCCTATCCCTGGCTGTACATCAACTGTTTGCACGCCCTGCCCATCTGCTGCTGGACCAGCACCTCCAGGAGTGGCCATCCTCCCAGGGGACCCTGTTGCCACCAGTGTGGCCTGGTTCTACCACCAGCCACCAGTGTGGCTCCACCTGCTCACGCTCGGACCTTCCTCTCCCAAGGCCGAGTCCTGCTTCCTGGAGTTCTTGAGGTTTCTTTGGCTTGGCAACATTAGCCAATTGGATTCATGCCCTGGACTTGGGGACTGAGTCGGCCTGTGGGGTCTTAGCTGAGCACTCTGCCATCTGTCACCTGGGCTGGGGACTGCCGGGCTCTTTCCAGGCCTCATGACGCCATAGAGGGGGCGCTATGGGGATGGAGCAGAACACCTGTTCCCATCTCAGTGGAGTCAAGTTGAGAAGGTTGGGGATCTCTAAGAAACCTAAGGCCTGAACTCTCAGGAGGACGCCCAGAGAGGTTATTTGACCTGGAAGCCACTTGGCTAGGGACGCTTTTCTGGATTGGCTGTGGTGTGAAGCAGGAGGGGAACAGCCATCCCTCACCCAGCCTTGTAGGCCTGCACCCAAACCTTGATCCATGCTGTTGGAGTGGCTTTGCCCACCCATGCTCTGTGGGGCAGGTCCACTCAAGAGACCTGAATATCCTATGAAAGTCAGCTCTTCTGGGCTCCTTGCTGGATGCCAGAGAACTCCAGGTTGATTATGGTCCCTGCCTGCCCTACTTCCCTTTTCCTGTGTTTTCACCACTGTCCTTTTCTCTCCGCCTCCTTGGGTTACAGATCCTGGCTAATGTCTTCCTCTACCTGTGTGCCATCATCGTGGGCGTCATGTCCTACTACATGGCAGACCGCAAGCACCGCAAGGCCTTTCTGGAGGCCCGCCAGTCACTAGAGGTGAAGATGAACCTGGAGGAGCAGAGCCAGCAACAGGTGAAGCTCAGAGCTTGGGGGGCTCTGATGGGGTGGCCTTGGGCCTAGAGAATGGTTAAGGGTCTGCAGTCTGGTGGGTGAGGGGCTGGAGCAGCAGTGCTGGTGCTGGGTGCTATAAGGCCTCACTCCCCTCTCCCAGGGAGCCATCACTGCTTACTTCCACCTAAGTCACTTAAGAAGAAGGAAAAGCAGCCCAGTCCCCGGGGGGCCCCCCTCCTGTTTACTTTTTCCATCTGGAAAAGGGCCTGGCTGTCCCTACTCTCTGTTTACTGGCTTTACTCCAGCCCAATCCGTGACGGAAGATCCTCCCGGTTCCCACGTGACTCAGCCTTTTAAGTGGGTGTTGGTCTGGATTCATCTCAAATGCTTTTTAAAGGTCTCCAGAAGTGACACCTACCAACTTCCTGTTACCCATAAGTTTATCTTCCATTCTTGAGACTGTGTGATCCTCTGCTCTGGGAACCATGTCTGTTTGTGCTCAGGATCTTACTGAAACTGTTTCATGGACCTGGCCACAGAGGCAGATAGGGCTTTAGTTTGCAGGCCGGTCTGGACCCTCAGCCTGCAGGGCCCCACCGTTGTGCCTCACCCTTGTTCTCTACACAGTGGTATTTGAAGGTACACATAAAATCATTTTGCTAGTGGGTCTCAGCTTCCTTTGTCCTGGAAATGTTTTTTTGTCTATTTACCAATAAGATCTAGAAGCTTCTGAGCTAAGCCTGGGAGACAGGTTGTAGGAGGGGAATTTCCTTAGTCTGTTTTGGCAAAAGTCAAAACAGGACTAAAGGTGAAAAGGAGATCATAATGGTCTCCTTCTCCTGAGTCCTGGACCCCAGGGCTCCTGAGGACCTGCCTCAGCAGACTTGTTTAAAAACCCTTATGTGTACCGCGTGACCTCCCTCTGTCATCACCTGGCTGGGCCACGGAGTTCTTTCACTGCTTAGAGTCTCACTTTGCGCATTTGCAGAGTGGCAATAATGACATTTGTCTGGCAGTTTCCTGACAGTCCAATAAGAAGCACAGGCCGAAGTGCTTTGCCCCCTGTAGAGCCTGGGAATGGCCGCAGACCAGCTGAGACATAGGGGCCATCGAGGCTCGGGGCCACATGCTCTCTCCAGGCAGGGTCAGTGCAAGGAGCCTGGGGACTGGCAGCAAGGGCCATCCCTAGGTGCCCCAGAACTCTGGAACCATTCTGCTGTGCCTTGTGGGTGCTTCTTTGACATCCTGCCCACCTGCACCAGCAGGGCAGACCCTGACTCCATGAGCGAGAGGCCCAGGTTAGGCGGAAGGGAAGGTGGGGGCATTAATGTGCATCCTCCGGCCTCTCTCGGCACACAGCAGGTGCCTGTGAGTGTCCGTGGGATGGAATGAATTTGCTGGCCTGGCTCTGTCCTGAGTGTGACCTCGGGCTAGTTCCTTGGCCTCAATTAGGCCTCAGATTCTCTATGTGTGAGGCCGTCTTTGAGAGCTCGTTCAAGGGTAAGGCCTCTGACCCTCATGGGTGTGCTGCCACCCACCGGAGTTTCACTCTGTTCCTTTTCCCTTAGGACTTTTGTGACTGTGATCAGGAGAGGGATCTGCCTGCCATTTTGCTTTCTTCCCATGCCCTCGACAGGATGTAGCATCGTAGTCATGCCAGGCTTATTTGAGAAGTAATTTGAGAAGTCTGCCGTCTTCCTACCCCCTGGAAGAGGTGGAGGGTGACTGGGGTTATGCCTTAGATGTCTAGAACTCACCAGGGAGTCCTGTGGGGACCAGCCATATGCTACAACAAGATGAACCTTGAAGACTATGTGAAACAAGGCAGACACAAGCAGACAATTACCGAATAGTCCACCTGTATGAATTACTAGGACGGGCAACTCATGGAGACAGGAAGTAGAGCAGTTGTTTCCAGGGGCTGGGGCTGGGGAGCTAGTGCTTGCTGGGCAGAGTTTCTGTTTGGGACGATGAAAAAGTTCTACAGATGGATAGTCGTGATGGCTTTTTCAGGCAAATATTCCATTGTGTGTGTGTACCACAGTTTGTTTATGCGTTAGGACATTTGAGTTGTTTATCCTGTGGCTACAGGTTTCTGAGTCTCTGCTTTCCCTTCTTTGAGGTGCAGACCCAGAAGTGGAATTGTTGGGTCATGTGATGATTCTGTGTTTCACTATCGCCCCCAAAGCCCCCTCAGTGCTGGGGATCGAACTCAGGGCTTCACAAATGCTAGGCAAGCGTTCTACCACTGAGCCAGGCACACTCTCAGCAATGTTTAAGTTATTGAGGAAACATTTTTAATGTTGATAAATACTGCCAAATTGTCTCATACACAGGTTCAAAGAATTTACAATCCTTCCAGCGATGAATGAGAGCGCTTTTAGACACTTAAATTTCCCTTGTTTATCTAGAAAATACGTCTTTGTTTTTGGACCCCTGTATGCCCTGGAAAGGTCCTTACTCGTTAGGACAGAAGACCCAGATCCTCACTTGCTTCTTTGCGACTGACACCAGAGGCTCCCCTGCCTCAACTGGTGAACTTGGACCTAAGATTTGCATCCAACACTTCTGCCAGGGTTTTCTCAGGACAGTGAGCCCTGGCTTTCCCACCTTCTGCCTGTATGGTGTTGCCGCTTTGCTTCCCCGTCTTCAGTTTAGTCTTCTGAAAAATTGGAATTAAAAAAAATGTCATTGTCATGGGGTTGTTTGGGAAGCATGTGAAGTAAGAAGGCAGAGGTGAGTCTAAAACCGTGAAGCCTTTTGGTACTGTGAGCTGCTGTTATGTGGCCCCTGCCCCTGGGGACACACTGGCTGAAGGAGGGAGGGGTGATAGATGGTAGGTGACTGGCCACGCGCCTTTCTCCTTGGTTCCAGTCAGGATAGAGGTTGTTCCCTCCCCAGGCTTCAGGGCTGACGTGAGTGGCGGTGTGAGTGGCGTGGGCTCTGGGCTGACTTCACTTCCCAGGAGCATCAGCCAGTGCATCTTGGGAGCTAAGTGCAGGCCAGCAGTGGAGCTTGCACGATCTTGGTTCATTTTCTCCTGTCAAAGTCCCTGGCGAGGATGAAACTGAGATAACGGGGAGCGCTTTGCTGAAGGGCTGCAGCAGCCCTAGTAGCAGAGGACACAGAAGCTGGTTTCCATTTGAAGTCAGTGTCCCACAAGGCAGCACGTGTCCTGGTGTCAACACCTTAGAAGATTCTCTGCATGTACCAGTTCTCTTCTTTGCAGAAGGGACTCCTTTCAGAATTCAGGGTTCAGGTCTGTGTTTGACTTCAGTGTGTCACAAGCATTTATCTTGTTTTCTAAAGTGCCTAAGGAATGTGCAGTGGGAAGGAAGTGCCTGCCACCCTGACTGTGTGGCTTCCACAGGTCAATTTCCTCTCTGGACTTTGTCCACTTCCATAATGACTGGAAGGATGACTGGCTTCCGGGACCCTGCCCGAGCTTCTCTCGGGTTCCAGTCCCTTTGTTGCTGCCCCTGGGAGGTGTTCTCTCCTCTATGAAGACAACCAGCTTCCTGCTTGGGGCCGGTGGACAGATGAAAGGGGCAGAATGGACCACACACAGGTGTCCCCTTCTGCCTCTTTATCAGGATGGACATGTCTCATGTGATGAGTGGGAGGAGACAGAGCTTCTGTATAGTGAGAACTGTCTGGCACCCAGGGGCTTTGTCACACTGACCCCCTCCCTGCCGAGTCTCCTTGCGAGGTGATGCTGGGCCTGGCCCACTCTGAGGTCTTGTGAATGGGATACTGGCTGAGAGTGACTCTGGCATGTAAAGGGGCAGAGGTCTGACTGCATGTGCAGCCTAGTGGCATTTACCTGTGGAGCAGAGATGCCTGAGTGAACCAGGGGCCTCTCTCCAGCCTTCCCCCGCCAGCTCTGTGGGCATGGTAGGGTGGAGCTCAAGGCCCAGAGGAAAGAACTTCAGTTGTTTGCTGTGATTCCCATGTGACCTCACTCCAGGGCTTAGTTGGGGACCTTGAGGGTTGCTAAGTGCCCCAACTGCCATCTGGCAACAGCAGCCATCCAGAAACTTAGTACACACTTGTTGCCAGGTACATACCACAGAATTACGAGCATCTCAGAGTCATTTCCCAGGCATTGGGATGTGGCTGAAGGAGGATGGAGGGATGTGTAAGGGTGACAGGGAAAGTGGCTAGGGCAGACTTGCACTTTCTTGAGGAACACCTGTTAGGTGAGACAGCTCTGCACCTCCTTGAGGAGAGGACTGTTCTCAGTCCCCATCCTTCAGGGGAAGGGAGCTATTGCCAGGGCCCCTATAGGAAGAGTCCAAGGCTGACTCCATAGGGTTCTGGGAGAGCCATCCACATCTTCATCCACACACCATGGGGAGCATGACTTAGGGGGACACAAGTCAGGTTTCTGTCTAGCTCTTAGGCTGCAAAACAGAGCACCTTCCTCAGCTGCCCAGCTGTTTCAGCCTGGTGCCAGGAATGCCCATGGCTACTACTGTGTACTATGACCTCTCTCTAGCTGGTGACCTTCTGCCCTTCAGCAGGTCTGAGGGAAGATCCACTCACAAGTCAGTCTTCTCTCCTGGGAACCCCAAGCTTGGAACCCTGGAATGCTGCTGTTTTATAAGTTGCTGCTTGTTTTTCTGAATGTCCCTCGTCTCTGACCTTTGCCCAGGCTGGCTTCACTGTTCCCCTCAAGACCTCTGACTCTGAGGACACGGCCTACAATTACCTTGGCTTTGAGTCCCATTCTCGAGGGAGGGTGGTAGGGGAGAGGGGAGTCAGACTAGGGATAGGCTTGGGCTTCCAGTGCCAACCCAGGGTGACCATTGTTGTCCCGGAAATGGCGAGGTGGGGGTGGGGAACCTGCCTCTTTGGGTAGCTGCTCAGAATGGGGAGAAGAGAAGAGGTGGCTGAGGGGAGAGAGGTGTGTGTGCCCCCTCTCCAGGGAGGCTCATCTCCCACTTGCTACATCAGCCCAGTCCCAGTCCTGTCAGCATCAGAGGTCCAGGGTCATACCTGTCATCTGCCTGACAGGAGCC